TGAGTTTTCATTTGAATTACTTTTCCATTAAAAAATTCTTCTCCTTTGCCAGCCCATCTTCACTACTGTTGTGTCTCCTAAAGCTTTTCACCAATGCTCTACCCCTAAGTAAGTCAAGCATATCAAGTGTGCCTGCTACTCACAGGCTAATGAACAATGCACAAAAACAAAAGACACAGCAGGACTCCTATTATCTGATCTTCCGTAAAACACACAAAAATGCCTTTTCTGGTACAGAGGAAGTACCAGTAAGCCTGCAGGTGTGAGCCAGTTAAAAGAAAAAGCTTTGGCTAAATAGATTCTTTGACTGTCAGGGATTAGAGTCATGGTACCAGTGGTAGCACACATCTTTTTTCTTTAATTTACAAAATTTTCTCACGAGTTTGCAAGAGTTCACCCCATCAGGGGCTTTCTGAAGCCATTGAAATGTCTTAAGTTTTAATTAAGTTGGAGTTGTCAGAAGAAAGCTTTTTTGGCACAGAGTCAGGGTCATTAATTACTGCTATCTTTGTTTCTTTCTGAAAAAGAGTTCCACTGACTTGTTGTGTTTCTTAAAGCCTACATTTTCTTTCTACCCTGCAGTCTTTATTCACTTCCAAGCAAGACATGATTAAGCATTCTACCAATTATTTCCCTCACGCTTACAGGAAAATTTATATCCAGGCATTTTCCTCGGATTTGGGGTGCTGAGTTAAGCAAAACCTGGAACCTCATGCTTTAGTGCAATCACGGATGATCTTACAATTCTGCTTCTATAATTCACAGCTTCACTACAATTAGACCCATCAATGTAGCTGTACAGTGAATATTAACATTCAAATTCACTACCAGAATTATTTGCAATAAATGTTTTTATTGCTAAAGCAGCTTGTCATGTTTTCCTATGACTATCATTTTACACAGTAATTAATATGGTCTTTGAAGGCAAACTTCATATACACTAAGTAGCCACTAACCAACAGCAGGGATTACAGAATTAAACTTTTAAACTTGCTAAAATGTCATAGGAGTTTCAAGTGGTGAACAGAATGGCTATTCACACATTCACTGAACATAGAAGGGAGGAGTAGGATCATATGCATGGTCTCTGTTTTGGGTTTCCATGTTTCTGATGAAGACTGGGATACAACTAGCATGTTTACATCAGTTTCTATAGGGTTCATTCTGCATGGTTGGGAAATCTGCCTTTTCAGGATTCCCAGTCACACAGAAATAGTCGTACAGGTACTATTTAAACCTTCACATCGCCACATGCAGGGAGTGGGCACTGCATGTGAAAACACAGGGAAAGGATTAGGCTCATTTCCTATGAAAAACCCATTCATTCGCATATCCAAAGGTGTACAAATAATAGCGATAAATCTGTTATTATATCTAGAGATAACAGAACACAAGTAATCTAGTAGCATTCAGAGAACAAATTCTATGAGTTACAGCACACTCAATGGCATGAAGGATGAAAATATAATAGCTTCTTACATGGAGAACACAGGACTAAGATGCATAGTCTACAGCAATCCTATCCAACTGATCATGTATATATGACACACCTTAAGAGTTCTGAAGTGTCTGTGGGTTACATGTACCAGCTGATAATAATGGATTCAACTCTTCAATCATTGTATATACTAAAGTGGTCAATTTCCAGAAAGCTAAAGCCATGTATGTTTAAATGGGAGGATAACTGGTCAATATGGTGAATAACTGGAAATCAAATCACAGATTACTTCTCTTCAGGAAGAGCTATTTATCTTATATTTATGTTAATTTTATTTATTTATATTCTGCTTTTCTTCCCAATAGGGTGCGAAGGTGGCTTGCAACATCTATATTTTATCCTCAAAAGAATCCAATGTGGCAGAGTAGAGTGAAAAAGAATGACTGGTTCAAAGTCACTCAATGAGCTTCCATGGCAGAGTGGGTTTTCCAGATCCTAGTCCAAACCTCTAGCCACTATATCATACTGAATGTAATACAAGGAATATGGTAATGTTTGGCTGACATACACTCCACCCACCTCAAAAAAGAAAAAGAAATGCTGTTAAGTGACCTCCATGCCTGAGAGGACTGAATGGAGAGCCTTATTTTGACATATATATTGCTTTACATTGACCTTATAACCTTAGCTTGTTATTTAGTTTTGTCTTTGCATATCTTTTTTTTTAAAATGTTTTTATTTCATAAAACATATCCAACACCAACACCACCCGTGTGTGACTTCCAGGCATTAGAGACATAAATAAAATTCCATACAGTATTATATCACAATCAATCTTAGTACAACTCTATTACTCTATTAACCTTCCATCTTAGTCCTATAATCAAATTAACCTCTCAATTTCCTATTAACTGACTAATCACCCCAATTTTTTTAAACTTTCCCAAATACCCCGCCATCCTTCTAAACCAGTCCTCCTCCTGGTCATTAACCTTTAACCCATTCATTCTACGTATCTTCATTGTAAGATACTCTAAAATTATTATATTATTCATTTTTTCC